AGAGCACACAATCGCCGAAGCATTGTCAGGGCATTTTCAGTGTCCCTAAATAAGTCCGTCAGGTGCATCCTGCCGACGGACTCATGCACCCTGAAGACGTGATGAATAAGGCACCCGGAGAGCCGGAAAGTGGGCAGTGTGCCAAACACACGCCGGGTGGCATTCATGAGGCCCAGTTCAAAATCCGTCTTAAAAAGACGCCCCACCAAACCGAGGTCCCGCAGCCGTTGAAGGGCGTGTAGGTAGCTCTCCTCAGACTTCGACGACATAAGAACATATGCTACGGGCACCACCTGAAAACATTAAAGACAGACCCCCACTCTAAATGGCAATGAACAATTTTTGTCCAAAGAAAGATGCAATTTTAAGCACATCTTGACAGAATGCAATTTTCGTGTCTTGTAATTAGCAAATTACCATCATGTTCATGCACAATTTCTACTTTTGCCCTTCGATCAGTCTGAAAATTTGTATTTTGTAAAGATGCGCTTAAAATTTCACCGAACGATGGAGACTTTGTCCTTTAAAGTGTCCATTGACATTTAGAATTTAGAGTGTGTACGCATGAGTGCATTATGCACATTTAGGACGCATTATGCGACATTATTTGACAAATCACGATAAAAGTCACAGAAGAAGCGATTAGAGTGATGGCTGACTACATTGGAAAGTCCCCCCCCCCCCTTTCAGTAAAAACCACCCCTCTTTCCCAGTCAAACTTACATGGTCATTCCAGCTCGTTACCACAGATAGTACTTGCTGGCAGTCAGCGGGCAAATGCTTCGCGACTTTGATTGTGCCGTCAATGAAAACTTCGGCCGTGGCGCTCATCCACTCGAGCACATCTGAGAAGACGAACACCAGGCTACGAAGGTGGGCGGGTCCAACACAGCCGTTGTACACCTGGACATTCCCCACCAGCGACTGCCCGAGATGGCTGAAGTCATTTGTCAGCTGCTGGTGAATTTGAAGCATGTTGCCTGGGAGCGGAGGGCGCTCGCCTCTTCGCGCATCATAGACTGCGCGCCGAATAACGCGTTCATCCAGGTGCACGCGAAGTGCTGGTGGAGCCCTGGAGTAGAGGGGGACACAACGAACACTTTATTATCATGGGTGGAAGCGTGTGATGTAACAAGTACTACTTGAGCGAGCGCCTTGGCCAGCCGCCCTCCACGCAATCGCCCACCAAATGAAGCGCAGACCCTATAAATTATAAAGTTTGAACCGCATCATCCGTACACATGAAATGCATGGTGGCCCTTTCTCCAATAGGAATGGCCATTTCCGCCTTACGGGCGGAGAGAGTAGGCCATCCCACAACACTGCGGCGTCCGCTCCGATCAAAGGCCGGCATCCGTGCCCAAATGCTGATCGTTGCTGCTCACTCGGCGCTGCTGCCCGCTCGACCGCTGCCCGCTTAGTACGACGCTCGTTAAGCCTCGAAAAAGGGCCCGCCCAACCCTGAATTTTACTGTAGAGAAAGGCGGTTTGAAGGGTATGTAGTACACACCCATAGGACACTTTTTAGAGGTGGTCCCCTAATCTACTCTACCCCGCG